TATATATAAAGATTATATTATCATGTGATTATTTGTATAAAATGAACTTTTCTGTTTATAAGAAATTGTTTTAATATCTGAAGCATAATGTATCTTATATTTTTAAGTTTCTAATTTAGCATGCAGTAAACTGCTGAATATTTTCATTGTGTTAAATTATTGAATTGTTTTTAGTTTAGGAGATCATTTGAGTTGTTTTACTGATTTAGTAAAAGGACTAAATGCGAGCACTTTTGCTGTCTGTCAGCTAGGACTGTGGGTGCTGGCTCATCGTTTCATTTCAGATGCTGCTATGCTTAGTTTTGAGCAGAAAGCTGTATTTTTAATTAACTTTTCAGCCAAGTAGCAATAAATTTTTTTACTGTGAAACACATGTCTTTGATGTCTCAGAAGTTCTTTATGGGATGTACTGTATTTGCGCATAACATATGCATGTCTCAAAATACTTTAATATCTACAGTTGCGTAACAGACGCACATATAAAGAGAAGGAAATAATCTTGCTTAATATGTTAAAGTACTAACTGTGCACTAGGCTCATCGGCACCAAACATAATTCAGACATAATTAAATGAGTATGTACATTATGTAATACATACAACCTGCTTTCTGCAGGTTTTCAAGATGGTACATTTTAGACCAAACAGAAAATGTAGAAAATCAATTTAAGGCAACTAAAGGCGAGTATGTTCTCTGAATGTAAAAGTCTTGAGAGAAACACAATGAGTTGTATTAGCAATACTTAAAAGTTTGAAAGTACAACTTCTAACCGATCTCCATCTTTTTAATTCATTTTACATAAACTAGAATTTGAAAATTACTTTTACTGCACCTTCTGATCACACTGCAAACGAGTGGTGTTCATTTTTTGTTGTTTTCCAGTGCACATGTCTAAAGATTCTTCAATCATGATACATTTACTTGAGAAACTAAATGACGTTTTCTGTGAAATTGATCAAAATGAAGCGAGTTTATGGTTAAAACGAATATCTGGCTCAGAAAAACTAAATTTAAAGGGAAAACCAGTTTTCATACCTCATTGACATTTCTTTTTTTTTTTTGACGTGACATGTGGCCAAGTATGGTGACCCATACTCGGAATTAGTGCTCTGCATTTAACCCATCCAAAGTGCACACACACAGCAGTGAACACACACACACACCGTGAACACACACCCGGAGCAGTGGGCAGCCATTTCTTCTTGTTTCAAGCATAAACGCTTCAATTTAAATATTTTAAGACTTTTACATTTGCATCTCAAGTAAACGATGTTTAGATGTTTCTATTGGAAAACAATTTTTTTTTGCAACATTTAGTGTCATGACTATGAATTTATAACTTGTTGGATGGATGAATAAAGACTTTAAAAACCTGCAGAAACCCTAATAAAGTAATTCATTTTGTGTAATTCAACTCATTCTCAATATACTGTGTGTTTCTTTTTAATTGATGAATCAAATCTAATGTTTGTGAAGAATATATGAAAAAAGTATTTCATAATAAAAACTCTTAGGAAGAAAGCAAACGTATATATATATATATAAAAAAGGAAAAATACATATCCTTCTGGTACTGTAAAAATACTAACCAAAATTGTCATGTTATAGGGACTACTGAACAGACATTTAGAAGTTGATTTTAAAATGCAAAGTATTTAAAATTTAAATAAAGCTATGTAAACACTTGCATTTTTACATCACTACAAGTGTGTCCCATCAGGTAATTAAAAGTTCGACACACACTTGTGGTCTTCATGCTCACTTGGACACTTGGGCCAAATACAGGAAATACGTCATATAAGTAGTCAAGTATTCAAGTGCAAAGACCGCAAGTGTGGGTATTTGGACAAGGCTACTCTCTCCTCCACATCTTCTTCTTCTTCTTGGTTTTATGGCGAGTTGCAATCTTTGCATAGATTCTTCACATATCGCCACCTACTGTGCTATTATACTCCTCCACATCATGAGTAGACACACCTCTTACTACTACTTCTGATATTTTTTGGCGGTTTTGGCAAACCAACTTAAAGGTGCATTACTGCCACTTACTGATCTTGAGTGTGGAGTGAACATAGATTTGGTAGAGAGAAGGATATACAGTGGGTACGGAAAGTATTCAGGCCCCCTTAAATTTTTCACTCTTTGTTATATTGCAGCCATTTGCTAAAATCATTTAAGTTAATTTTTTTTCCTCATTAATGTACACACAGCACCCCATATTGACAGAAAAACACAGAATTGTTGACATTTTTGCAGATTTATTAAAAAAGAAAAACTGAAATATCACATGGTCCTAAGTATTCAGACCCTTTGCTGTGACACTCATATATTTAACTCAGGTGCTGTCCATTTCTTCTGATCAGCCTTGAGATGGTTCTACACCTTCATTTGAGTCCAGCTGTGTTTGATTATACTGATTGGACTTGATTAGGAAAGCCACACACCTGTCTATATAAGACCTTCCAAAGTGCACACACACAGCAGTGAACACACACACACACCGTGAACACACACCCGGAGCAGTGGGCAGCCATTTCTTCTTGTTTCAAGCATAAACGCTTCAATTTAAATATTTTAAGACTTTTACATTTGCATCTCAAGTAAACGATGTTTAGATGTTTCTATTGGAAAACAATTTTTTTTTGCAACATTTAGTGTCATGACTATGAATTTATAACTTGTTGGATGGATGAATAAAGACTTTAAAAACCTGCAGAAACCCTAATAAAGTAATTCATTTTGTGTAATTCAACTCATTCTCAATATACTGTGTGTTTCTTTTTAATTGATGAATCAAATCTAATGTTTGTGAAGAATATATGAAAAAAGTATTTCATGCTAGTCGGCCCGAATCAGTTTTCTAAAGCGTTTTTGAAAAATCGCTTACCCCACCTTTAACATTTATAGGGCATTTTGGGGGTTCTAATATTCTATCATGGAGCATGAAGTATTTTTGGTAACAGTTAACTCGACGCCTGTATGCATAATGCATTATAATTTTTGAAAGGTTGTTTTTCCTTTGTTTTAATGCATTATGTGCAACAATGAATAGATAAATATTATAATTTATTATAACTGTGGTTATAATTATTCTTAAGCTCAGCCAATGCATTGTAAGGTGCATTACAAGGCATAATTAATGCATTAAAAACATTTATAATTCATTATATATAAAAGCTTAAGTATTACCGTACATTATTTATTTAAAAAAAATTTTTTTTTTAATGTAATTAGGTTGATTTTGTTTGCCATTGTGTTGGTGGTGTCTTATTTTTAGCATTGCACTAGAAAATGTTCTCGTTCAAGTTTGAAGTGTTTCTAACTGAACACCAGTTATTACAAACAGCTAAAAGTTAGGCAAAGCTTCCTTTTTACATGTTGTGCACATTACTGAATTCTCTGTAACTTTCTCTGATTTTATAACTGGCTTTGCAACTCGTGTGAACACTTATGCAGAACTAAAGGAAAGCTTTACAATGATTTAGATTTTCCCTTTAAGAAGATAAAGACATGATTTCACACAATGACAAGCAATTTGAGAAGTTAAAGGTGATGTGTGATTTTTTTTTTTTATGTTATAACACCTCCTCTCCAAGCTCAACTTCTAGCAAGCCATTCATAGGTTCATTCCTAAAAAAAAAAAAAAAATAATAAATAGGA